GTTGCTCTGAAGTAGTGTATAATGATAGGATGGGATCTAATCGGCCTAAGTTCATTTATTACGTGTTTGATTCCATATTAAAAATTATCAAAATCATGATTTTAATCATTTTTAATGTAACTAAACGAGTTTTAATGAAGACATATCCTGGCCTCACTAAACCGTATAGTATATCTTTGCATTTATTTTTGATTGGGTTAAAAAAAAAAAATCCTAACAATCACACTGAGCAGAGTCCGAGATTCAAAATCAATTAATAATAGTCATTAATTAATACTCCTCTGATTATCGAATTAACTAAGTTGAGTTGATTAAAAATATTAATTAAATTAGTTAATATGATATTTTTTTAAAAACATCATAAGCATCCTTCTTAATTTTTCCTCCCTCTCTGACTTGATCATTGTTGAGAAATATTGATAGTGTTAATTTAGGAAAAAATTAATAAACATATGAAATATGTATTACATATAGGACCCACATCAACTCCTCAATTATGTCCTACATCAAGGACCAGAGGAGTAGTTTCTTTTTAGTTTTCTTCCTACCTTAAAACCAAGTGAAATCATTGTGAGGTGCTAAAAAAAAAAATAATTATTAAAAAATTTCAATTACAAGTGAGCAGCATGCCTGCATGAAAACTTGTCATTTACTTATTATGAGATTTTTAGTGGTAAATTTTTTTTCTTAGAGCTAAGCAGTAATTTTGAAAAAAAAAAATCTTTGAAACATGTGAGTTTATATAGGTGGTAAGATTCACAACTTCTTAGCTAATTTTTGTGTGTGGAGAATGTGGTACTTCTTCTAATTATTAACTTAATATAAGAGCTAAATAATTGTTTTATGAATATTAATAAAGTTAGTTAACTGCACTAAATATGTGTTGATTTTTTAAAAATATCTCTTGTAATCATGCACATTGTAATCCGTTAATGAAAATTCCCTGTATGCAATTGATAGGATTAGTTTGAGACAAAAATTATAAATTTAATTGACAAAATGAATTAATATTTTTATATTTAATTAGGACCAAATTAAAATTTTAATTAGTCTAACTCTTACATTTATTGACATTTTATCGTGTTGATTATAAATAGATTATAACTTAGAAGTAATCATCATTTGATTTTTGATGCAAAATTATGAAAGCAGAATATTGATAAATTAAAAATTTTTCAAAGTAAGACTAAATTGACCAAAATTTGAATGCAACAGTCTAAGTATCAGTTTTAAACGGACGAGTTAGCAAGTGATTGTTCCTAATAAAAACATGTACTAGTAAAATATATTTCCAAGCAATATATGTATGTGTAAGTATTAAAACATGAATATATTTTGTTTAATTATTTTTGGCTCAGATCCTACCGCTAATAATTTAATAAATTACATTATTGGAAGGACAAGACATGATTGGGGCTACTTTTCCGTGAATAATCCAAATTATAAAGATTAATGAATTATCAAAAGGGACAAGCCGCAGATCTAGATGGGCCCTAAATTAATATCATCCATATTAGTGAAGTAATACATTACCTCATTTTTTCCCTAAAAAAAGGAAAACTTAAGCTTCCCCATAAATATCACCATAAAAAATTAATCTATATTTTTTTTTAAAAAAATTATGCAGTGATTGTCACATCATCAAATTCAACTTCTTAGATTTGGCCTAAAAAAAAGAATCGACTTCTTAGACAAGATTCAATTCGGTATTTGTAAATAATTACTTGCTGATAATGTGGACAATAGCATATGGTTAGGAAGGAACCAACTTGCAAGATGTTGACAGAGGAAAAAGTTGATATAATGAACATTTGGATCAAATGGCCTCAAAATTTTGTCATCACACAAATATCTAGTTTTTTTTTTTTGTGAGAATAATTTTCTGAAGAACTCAACACTAGATTTATCGTTTTGTCTTAAAAAACCATTATAAAATCGAAATTAATCCAAAATTATTATATATATATGCGGCAATAATTACTCTAACATATATAACGAATATTTCTATGAGTGGTGCTTCTCATATCTTAGACTTTTCTAGTCTTGACAACAGAAGAAGTGCCGTCTGGCGTCAATGTGTTCATATTTAACCAATAAATTGGATATAGCATTTAGCAAAACATTTTTCTTGATAAAACATGTTGGTAATTTAGGTACAAATGAAAATTAGGATAAAACAGCATCCAATATTCTGATATTATTTCTCAAGTGTATTCAATATTTAAATTTCATTTATGATACATCTAGCATTCTGATGTTATTTTTCTTGTACGTACTTCAACAACCTAATTTTAATTGTAGTATTTAACTAGTAAATTATTATAAGAGTATTTAATATAGTTTGTTTTAAATAATCTCACATCGTACAAATGAATATCAAAATAAATTTTATTTTGTAATTAAATCATGCATATAATAATGGGAAAATCCCAAAAAAATAATGGTTGAATTTTAAAATTCCAAATCAATATTGGTTACTACACTCATAAAAAAAAAAGACTATATTTAAAAAACAAATGACAACACATTTTTGTAGTAATTCATAATTTGGAATTTTGAAATTCAATAATCATTTTTTTAGGATTTTCCCTATAATATATATATTTATATATAAATATCCCAAAAGTGGCTGAGCAAGCCCTACGCTGAACTCTCAGTAGCCCTCGTGCTGATCTGCCAGATCCTCTTTGTTCCTACTGTTTTTGGGCAAATATTAAAAAATAGAGATGCGGGAGAATGCGAAGGGCAAGGGAGCGAGGGACAGACAAGGATATTATAAAATATTGCCAAAATCTTTAACCGCATGTTCATGCATTTGCCTTTTTTCTTTTCCCACCTTGTCTTGGGGACCAGCGACAGAATATTCTCCTCACACTTCGGCCGGGGTCGTGATAAGTGTTTTTTAAAAAACATTTTTTTATAAATTGAGATAAATTTTTTTACGTATTTACTTCATATATCATAAAACTACTTCTAAACTTATAATTTGGTTCCATCTAAACACCCTAAAACTGATTTAAAAAAAAGTAAAGGCAGCAACATCCAGACATGAAACATTTATTTGTAATTATTAACACAAGCCAGATCTCTTGTTTATATTATATTTTATTCATGAGAATAAATAAATAAAAAAAGAAAAGCATCATTCCCAGCACTTTATGTAAGTTCACCGACTACACATACATTTATGTATGTGTAATGAAAATTCATTGAGTTAATCTATGGTGAGTTTCATTCTCTCGATTGTTTTTGATGGAAAAGTGACTAACATTCCATATAAATTTTGACGAAGCAATCGATTCGAGCAATAATCTAAATTTGTTGAAAATATTGTTTATATTTAATAAAAATATTTACATTATTCGGATCAATTATTTCTTGGGGTGAAAGGACTAAGGACAATATTCCCCACCTAGATTTTTTTTATTTATTTTGTTATAACTCACGTACTTATCGTACTCTCATTAAGAAGCCTTAAAAAAGATGCTATGTATTAGTTACGTTACAAGACCTTGACATATTCTCTTTGATCCGCAATAATATAAATCATTTTTAGAGGAATAGCTGAATTGAGTTTTGGTGCTCATAGCCAAGAGATAAGCACGAATCTAGACAGTCTAGATTAGATATGGATAGTCCATATTTATTTTGTTATTTTAATTTTTTTGAAAAAAAATATCTTAGTGGGTACATGATCAAAATTAAAGATAACCTTTAAACTGTTAATTTTTCATAAAATAATTTTATTATTTAAATATCATCAGTTAGAAATTTTAATCTGAATCGTTAGAATTGTTTTTGGACCAGATGGTGTGTATCTCTCCCCAAAAATGAGCACCATGGTGCTCATTATTGTGATGACTGATGAGCAGTGGCTTGGTTCAAAATATATATTAATTAGAGAATAATTAATGCTTTATTTATCAATTTTGCCCTTGTAATTACTGTTTTTTTTTTTTTGGGGTGATAACCTTCGGTGTCCGGCGGTTTCGGCAACCAACTGATCCAGATTAGTGGGAATGTGGGTTTACTATGCAAGGCATCTCACTCTCACTGAATTATAACGTATCTAGGGTTTGAATTTGAGATTTCTGGTTAAGCTAGAATAACATTCTTACCAATCGATCTAAGCACTCGGTGGTGCCCTTGTAATCAATGTTTAAAAGTAACTCTTTTTTTTTTTTTCCCCTTTTGCAACCTCATTTAATATGAATAAAGTTGAAAAAACTTTTCGATTTGAGATAAATTTAATGACTTAAATATTATTTCTAATTTTAATGAACTAGTTGTGTATGTGCGCGCGCGCGCTCGTGCGAGATAATTGAAAATGAAACCCCTCAATCATTTGTATAAAAGGGACAATAGTCATTGTCATTCACGCCAACTTAAATTGCTTTTCTCCTCACCCCACCCCCAATTAAAAGTAATATGAATCATTTACCTTACACGTAAACATGGGCACTCTTCCCGGGTTCCCCCGGCGCCAACCAAAAAAAAAAAAAGGATTCCTCCCACTTTGATGAAGCTAAGACAGCCTTCATTTTGTTATTCTCCTTGTCTGAACACTCTTGGCCATAAATCTTGGAAGTCGGAATAATATGCAAGTCCTGAAGAAAGAGAACTTTACACTTTCATCAGTACTTTACAAAACTACTCTTTTAATAATTGGTGCACGAGATCTGCGTATCTGCAAAATTCAGTTCCATCTCATATATCTGGACGGGACAAAATAAAGAAATCAAAGGCTTCTTGTGCCCTTTAGTTCATGGGTCCCACCTTAAGGTGAAAACAATCAACGGTGGAAAAACAAGTTGCATGCTAAACGAGTCATTTCTTTTATGTCCATTTCACTCTGATGCATGTGTCGTTTATCCCCTGCAAAACCCTTGGCTTGGATTACTATTATATAACTCAGTTCTCTTGTTCATAAGTTCGTGCCCATATTAATTACTATCAGAACAATTCTATTTATCTCCTTCTCATCCAAATTCCCAACTTTAATGGAGGTTCCATGGCAGAATTGGTTCTCGGATCTGGTAATCATAATTTTTTATATCTAACCTAGCTATTCTATTTTAGGGTTTCATGATGAAAATCATTATGGTTATGCTTGTTTGATTAGTTCTCATGGATCTCTCTCTTTCTCCCTTTTTTTTCTTTTTGGTTTAATGTTTTGATTTCAGGATATGGATGAGACCAATTTCTTCAATAATCAATGGCACAAGCCTTATAACTCTTTTGATGATGAGGATGATGAGTTTCTTAAGGAGATCTTTCACCAACCTTCTTTCTCTTCCGAGAGTGACAGTACTCACTCTTCCTCTATTCAAAACACCGCCGTCACTGCCGCATCAGATGGTGGTGGTGGTGGTGGTGCCGCTGCCGCCGCTGTTACAACACCCATCGTTAGCAGCTTATCGTTGGACAACGATTCCGGCGCCGGCCAGCTGAAGCGGCCTAACAACTCGAGCTCAACCCTCTCGAAACTTGGTAGCTTCTCGGACAAACCAGTAGCCTCATCGGCCCCGTCAACTTATATTCTGTCCTTCGATAACTCAACAGTTCTCCCGGCCACCTCCGACGGTGGTCACCGGAAACACGAATCGGCGATCAAGAGTCGTAATCAAGAGAAATTAGAGAGTAGTATTACAGGTGGTGGAGGAGGAGGAGGAGGGGGAGGAGGCACGCGCGCTTCCCAAAAACGAACCCTAGAAAACCAAAATAGTGATCAGCCAAGAGCTAATCAAGGGACAAAGAAGACTAGAAGTTCATCCGAGACACTGGATCACATAATGGCTGAGAGAAAAAGGAGACAAGAACTCACTGAGAAGTTCATTGCACTCTCAGCGACAATCCCTGGTTTGAAGAAGGTCAGTTGAATTCATTCATTTCATTATGTCTTGATTCTTCTTCAACACTTGGAAAGTACCAGTTCATCTCTTTCATCTTCTTATTCAAAATTAGGGTTCGGATCCTTTTTCATCTTTTCGTAATTATCACTGATGCTTCGATGGACTAATTAAATTATATTATGATTCTTGTGATTTTCTGTAATCTGATGATGGACTGGAATTGAATGGAAAAGTATAAAAGATGTGGATATGCATAATCGGAAATAATATCGAGTTTTTGGCAAATTGACTGACTTTTTACGTGCAAGCCCGCTTTTGATGAATGTTTGTTATTTTAGTTAATTCTAAAATAGCTTTTAAAAAAGGAAGTATCAACCCAAAACCTACATTTTGCAAATGGAAACAAAAATTGCTTTTCAGGGAAATGAATTTTGTTTAGAACTAGTAGCCAAATCCACAAATTGTTTCATATACTCCTCCCTCCTCTAGTCCTTTTATAAGTTACATTTTGGAGATGCCTAAAATTTTATTGCACGTTTTTTTATTCTTACCCTCATCATTTTTCTACTCCTTCCCCCTCCCCCCCCCCCAAACTCTTTCTATAAATATGCATATATTTGAGAAAAATTATGGAAAAAAATATTTCTTACATATTTATTGTCTTTAATCGATTTTAGTTGACTTCTTAAATTTTGTAAACTAGTAGCCAGAGCCAGACAAATGCACAAATGCACAGAGCTTTTCATATATGAACTTGTTGTGTTGTTTAATCTAAATGTTGAGCTGATTGAATGATTTGGATGAATGCTCATCAACTAATAGATTGACAAGGCTTCAATACTAAGCGAAGCCATAATTCACGTGAAGCAACTTCAAGAGAGAGTGAAAGAGTTAGAAGAACAGAACAAGAAGATGAGTAGCTTGGAGTCCTCAGTGTCAAGGTACATGATGAAGAATAAGAAGACATCGTCGTCGTCGTCGAGCCAGCTCTATAATAATTATAATAATAATGCTGAAGACATTCAAGAGACAACCTCCTGTGAAATGAGCTCCGATAATTACTTCAGAATTTGTGAAACCCTTCCTGAAGTTGAAGCAAGAGTTTTACACAGACAAGTCCTCATCAGAATCCACTGTGAGAATAAAAAAGGCGTCACCCTTAACTTGTTGGCTCAGCTCCACAATCTTCATTTCTCCATAATCAGTCACAGTGTGTTGCCGTTTGGAAATTCCACTCTTGATATTACCATTATTGCTGAGGTACACATCCATCCATCCATCCACACACACACACACACACACACATTTAGTTTCTGTTTCTGTTATATGCTTGGTTGAGCAGAATCAATTATAGGAGAAAACTCGATCTGATTATTATGTTTGTTTTTCCCCATCTGATAAAAGTATATTCTCAAACACTCAAGCAAGAACCATATATAGCATGGAGAAGGGGGAAATCACGATAAAAATTCTTATAATCTAATGATATCAGAGAAAGAAGCATTAATAAAATATTAAATTCCTTTTTAAGAACTAAAGTTGTGCCTCGTGTTTTTCAAGGTTCCACGGCTAGTATTTCTCAAAACTATCATTAATTAATTTATGTTCCTTGAATTTACAAATCCAAGTAAAATATTATTCTGATTTCGAGTATTGAGACGAGACTATGCTGACAACGAACAGGTGTGTGTGTGTGTGTATGTTTGGCCAATACGTTGATATTGTATACACACACACATATATAGCTTTAGTTTTTAAGACCCTCTTTCTATATACTCCTCTAGTCCAGTTTATCAAGCAAAGAGAGGAAGGTTTTTTTTGTCTTATTTATAAGTCTCACCGTTAAATTTTTAACATAAATATATAGTTTTACTCTTCATTTATTATTATATAAATTATTTTTTTTGAGAAATTGTACATCGTAAATAGGAATAAAGTTAAAAAGTTAAATTTTAAAACACGGCAAATGAGGTTTAAGATTTTTCATGATTCTAATATGGCATATTAAAAGTGACTTATAAATCAGAGAATAGGATGAGTTTTTTCCAACAAGAAAAGCTGTACAATTTCAAGAACACGTAGTATAATTATTAGTTATTTCACAAGCAGCCACAATTCATAAATTCTATATAAAATCGTTAGTTTAATGAAGAACATGTATGATAAATTTTTCCCCCCAGCAATTTCATATGATGAATAATTTGTCGTTATAGGTCGATGAGGAACGCAGCATTCCAGTGAAGGAACTTGTGAAAAAGCTGAGAAAGACACTGTTGAAGACAGTTGAGTGAGAACCACTAAGAGCAATCCATGCTAGGGTATCAAGTATATCAACAACCTTACCGGCCAAGTGACGATTGAATCTCATGTTTTAAAAATGATTCAAACTTTTTGAATACTATTAATTATGATTTGGTGTTGTTTGTCGCAACAATAAAGAAAAAACAACAATAAGATAGTTTATTATTGTATGCGGATTAGTGTAAATTATGATATATATGTTTGATTACTATATAATGTATTGTCCAAACTTGCTGTGTTTGATCACAGTGTGTATATATTTATATTTATTGGTCTTGGCATGTTAGAGTTTTTGCTTCAATCATCAATATAATGAATCCCACCTAAAACTTGTCACTTAAGTTACTTCTTTTTTTTTTTGTTATTTCCTTTAGTTGTTTTAATTATTATTGTTATCATAGTGATTACTATTATATTATTATATGACTTTGTCTAATATTCGACCAAGAAGGAGCCAGAAAGAGGGAAAATAATCGATATTACTCCTCCAGTTCCCATTTTGTAATTATACTATAAAATAAGTTATATATTTAGAACCGGTTGAGTAGCATTAATGATTGACAAAACTGGCGCCAGAGAGAAATTCACCTTCGCGCCTTCCTCCCTCAGCCACCCTCCTCATCCTTGGTTGCACCACCAAATCAGAGACTCTAATGCTTTTTTCTTTTCATTTGCTTCTGTGGTCTGGCAGCTAGGATTTTTTTTAGTCCAATATGAGCTGAGTCATCAATTTCATAGATAAAGAAAATAGTTCTGTTAACATTAGATGAAGGTGCACAATTTTAAATACTTCAAGGAGCCAAATTACATCACAAATAACTTTAGAACATTGGGCTGAGTTTGGAAAAATACTTTAGCACGTTAACCCCAAAAAAAATCTAAACTTTAGTTAAGTTTGTCCACAGGTGGGATTAAGGCTATCAATCTTGCTAGGATTTTGGCCCCAAAAAAAAAAAAACAGCAGTATCTCGTTCAGATTGTTCCTCAAGAATAAATTCTATATTTTAATTATCTTGAATCATCAGAATGGTTTCCAGATTTTGTAACAGTTTCATTTCCTTCTTTGACTTGTTTGGACAGGCTTTTGCAAAATGCCCTTTCTTCCCATAAAGATAACATGTATCAGACTTTTTGGAATGAGTAGATCGTCTTTCAAAAAATCTAAAAAGCCGTGTCCTTTTTCTTCTTTGAAAATAAAAATCCTTTGATGTTTTGTGTTTTCTGAAATGGGATTTCTTTTTTTGCAGAACAAGAGCATTCTTTTTGACCTTTACACTTAATCTTGAGATAAGGCTTCCTACTTGCAGATTGTAATTTGACTTGGCCTTTCATCATTTCTTAGAGGAATTTTCTTTGTTCACAGAGTTTATCTAGAGTGGACAGTTGACAAAGCAAGTTGATATATTTCTCTAAGAGATACGCAAGGCATTAATAGCTGGATGAAGCTCTAGCGGTAATTCATCAAGAAGAGAGGCAATAAAAACATGTCTAATATTAACATCTTGAAGTCCCTCCTCCAACATATAGTATTTCTCAGACATTTGTTGAAAATACTTTTGCAAATCTCTTCTATCAAGAGAATGATATTTCATCTCAAAATATTCTTATTGATTCCTTCTATTGATGATATTGAAATCATCAATAAATTCTTTATAAATCAAACCAAGAATTTGCCCAACTCTAGTAAAATTAGCTACAGCAGCTTTATGACAATCATCTATGATTTGAAACCATTCATGTAGATTACTAGTGAATCTGAGACAAAATTCTGAAATAACTTCTTGAACAGTAACACAGGCCTACACATCTATAGATCAAGCCAAGCGCCAAATTTGTGAAGTCTTTCTCTCCATTTATGAGGAGGGAGATTATCAAACATAAACCAAGGACTTTAGTAGGCTTAAGGTGTCCTCCAGTTGTTCTGGACGATTGGAAAAAGTTGCATCTTCTGGACATTCATCTGGTGTATCTTGAACAATAGGCTCTATAGGAGAAAGTGGGACCGTACCAACTTTGGAAATATCAGCAAGAGCTCCATTAGAGTCAAAGCTTTTTAAATTCTCAAAGAATTCAGGATCCAAATTAGACTCATAGTTTTTAACAGGCAACGCCTAAAATTTATTTTGTAGAGAGGCAATGGGAGCTTTGGTTTTCTCATTTTCTTCACTTTGGGGTGGACTGTTTAGGTAGGGAGAATGGTGGTGTGGTTATTTTAAGACTAGTAGAAGGTTAAGAGGTTTTTGCTAGAGATTTGGTATAAGAGGGACAGGCTTGTGATATGTCAGGATTAAAAAGAGGTCTTGGTCTTGGATGAAAAGGTTGTGTAGGTTTCAGTTGAGGAGGCTTAGGTTATAGTTTTGACTGCCTCACTTGTCTGAATATAGAATAGCTCATCTTGAAGATTTGACTATAATTAGATAAGGACTTAGGATAATATGTAGGTGAAGATGAACATGAAACAGGATGATAACTGGTCGGGTAAGAGGGATAGGATACATATATAGTTTGAGAATGTCCCTTGTCCATATCTGCCTCAATGCTCTGAATATTCTATTTAACTTCACAAATCTCTTTCTCCTCATCCTTGAATTCTGGTATGAGATATCCTTAGTCAATGAATTTCTTTAGATTGACATCCAAATGATAAGCTTGAGAAGTAAGCTATATATACAGCTGGTTATCTGATCACTTTACTACAAAAAAAGAAGCAAATTGTAGTGATTATTTTGTAGCGGATACATTAAACCACTAGAAATCAAAGACTTGTAGTGGTTTTAACGTAAAACCACTATAAATCTGCATTGGTTGACCCGGATTTCATTGTGTCACACATTATAGCGGTTATACGCGCAAATAACCGCTACAAAAATGGTGCACCCTTCCATCATTTGGCAGGAGATTGGCACTAAATTTGTAACAGTTATGTAGTGGAGGTTATGATAGTATAACTACAACAAACTATTTGTAGCGGTTATTTTGTAGTGGTTGTGCTAAAGGCAGAAAATGAAACGTTTGATTTTTGTAGCGGTTTCATATAAAACCGCTACAAATGGTTAAAATTTGTAGCAGTTCTAGTTTAACCGCTACAAAGTATTGCAAATTTGTAGTGCGGTTACATACACAACTGCAACAAAGTGTTTAGTTATTTGATGGAGGTACGACACATGTCATAGACTTTGTAACGTTGTAAGGTAAACTGCCACTAATATCACATTTGTAGCAGTTATTTTTAAAATCACTATAAATGTTCGGTGTCTATATAAACCCTCTCCCCCTCCTTCTTTCACTTTCATTGCGTGTGTGTACGGTTTCTGTCACAATTTTTCCTCAAATCCACTGTAGTTTCAGATCCATTTCCAGCTATCCAGGTATGATATATATTCATTTATTAGTTAATTTATTTTATAGTTACAGTATTTAAATATTTAATTGGTATTGTATTCATTTAATATTTATTTTATTTTAGTTTAGTTATTTAATTGACATTGATATTGTTTGATTCATTATATCTCGTATTTGTTTTAAATTTTTGTAGTTTGCATGTTAGTTATAATGATTTAATAATAAAATATATTTATTTAGTAATCAACTTATATGACATTAGGAGTGATATTAATTTAATTACAATTATTTTTATTTTATTTAATTCAAAGAAGTGAATTTATTGGCTTTTTTAATTGTTAATTATGAATTGGAAGATAATTATAAAATGTTTAGAATTTATTAAATCCATATCTAAACAGTTTTTTTATTTTGTTTAATAGTTATATGTGATTTAAATTGTTGAATTAATTAATTGTAATGATTATATATTTTATTGCCTTCAATTTTTTTAGTTTACATGTTATTTGTAATTGTTTAATGATAAAATTCGTTTATTTAGTAATTAATTTTATTAGATATTAGGAGTGATATTATTTTAATTATATTTTGTAGTATTTTATTTAATTTCAAAAACTTGGAGTTGGTAGAAATTTTTCAATTTTTTTTATGGTTTCAAATGTAATTGTAAAATGTTTAGAATTTATTAAAGTCATATTTAATAAATTTTGTATATTCTATTGTTTAATTAATTATTTGTTGTTTAAATAGCATGGCTTGTTGATAAGGTAAAGATCCCATTGAACCTACGAGACCCCTGGCATCCTGAGAGGCTTGGGTCATCCAAGGAGTCGACAGAGGAGGATGATGGGCCCATGATCAGCATGGAAGATTATGAGATCGATGAGCACTTCGATCTCAACCTGGGGGGGTGAGGGTGGATTCGAGGGTCCTGTGGAGGGAGAGGTACGGGACCTGAAGGAGGAGGAGGAGGGCCACCACCACCAGCTGCCGCGTTGACCTAGTAGACGGTTGAGCAGTTCGGAGGTGGCAGTTGTGGGTAAGTAAAATAAGTTATTTAATATTAATAATTAATATTATTGATATTATCTCATTATTAATTTAATTGTGCAACCCAATGGGCAATAGGTCCACGAGGAGGCTAAATGTGAAGGACATGCATTACATTCAGGATGCACATGTCACAGTCCCTCTGAATGAGCATGGGCAACCAATTGAGTTGGGAGGACATCTGTTCAACTGATATCTAGCTTATCTAGGTGGACAATATACAATATTTCCCATCTACGAGCCTACCTGGAAGAGGATGTCACAAAAGAACAAGAGCGACACCTGGGAGCTGCTGAAGGTAATTAATTAGTATTTGAAATTTAGGATTAAATATTTTCCTTAAAATAATTATGACTTACATTATGAATTTGATTTCTTACTAATTAAATCATAATTTATTTTTTAATTGCAGAAAAAATTGTCATCGAGGATAACATGAAGACATATGCCCTGAAAAAGTTAGGGGACAGTTGGAAGAACAGGAAGGGCCACTTGTACAATACAAAGAAAGGTGATAGGACAAGACCTCTAAAGGAAATGCAGATACATGCCAGATGGCATCTTGCCAAAGGCTGGGCATCATTTGTCCGCTTAGGGT